AACGCCAGCGCTCTACCCGTCGGAATTACAACGCGTGCATTCTGACCGCGTGTAGGGACGACGTTACACACATGTGAAATGGTGTTTCCCTATCTTTAGCGCATCGGCGAAGATTTCACTCGGCGCTCGTGTGAAACAGAAGTGCCGTGTATGCCGGCGGATAACTATACAAGACGCGCGGCCGAAGTGGTATTAAAGCCGCCGCTTAATAACTCGTTAATTATCGTTTTAGGAAATCCGCGGGAGCGTCCAATTAATTTACGCAACACTACCGCGGCTTATTCCGCGGCAGTCGCGGTAATTGGCTTAATTGGGTTATGGCAAAGTTTCCAACAAAGACGAGACTTCTTGGCAATTGGTGTAACACACAGTTTGGTAGCGTTTTGGTAGCGATGGGTAGAAAAATTCTTTGATTCTACATAGAATCGCGGTTGGACATATGTACGGAGTCTTAAAAAAAGATGAAAATTTTAAAAAATTTTCGTCCACCCTGTACAAATAATTAAGCGTATTATTTTCTTTTTTTTTTTTTCGAAAATAATTTTTTTCAATCTCGTCACAAAATTTTATTAACGCTCATAAATACTTGCCGTAACTCATATTTTTTATTTTATCTCTAATTCTCTTATTGTTCACCCTCATTATCAGACAGACTATATCTTGTACTTTTACATTCTTACGAAAGCCCAATCATTCAGCGAACGGACACGATACGCTCCCGTAGGATCGGCCGATTTAAGGAATTTGTATAACACAATTATGTAGCATTTGAAACACATTAGAAAATATATATATATATGGTCTCATTCAACCGACCATTAGATACTAAGTAAGCGGATAACGGGTGTCGGAAAATTATCGATAAATTTGAAAAGCGCGAATAAAATGTGCAAAAATTTTGTTAAATCAAAAAATTCCTCATACAAAAAGCCCACCGTGTAGTAATAATACACGCCTATATAATCGGACATTAGGTAAAGTGAAAATCCAAAATTAGAAATCTCGAGTAAAACAATTTCTCAGAAGTTAATAAAAGATCGGATACTGATCGTCGTTAGTCTATACCTTTCTACATGACCACCATATATAACACAGGTATAGCATTACGTCGGTTTTAACGGCGTATAACGCTCCTAACAAGAAGATCGCGTGTTACTCGTCCCAGGGTCGACGTAGCCAACCACGCATACCAAGTCGTTAGTTTTTCGTGTATTATGTTACCATTTCAACTGATTTTTTTTCCCCTTCATTCTTTTCTCCAGAAAAAAGGTCGTCTTGTACCTCGAAACACGAATAATTTTCAATTCAACGAAACTATTTGAAAAATCTACAACCAATAGGATCCAAGATAGATATTATTGCGTACTTACTATATATCGTACAACTGTACAATATATATATGAACTATTCAAAATTAGGCAGATACCCCAAAAAGTCCATCCGGGTCATTCAGACCCATTGAAACCAGTCGGCAGACCAAGAGACCGCACTAACCGGAAGAGAGTGACGTTTCGCTCGCGCGAACTACCAGCGTAAAACAATGGCCACCAGGAGGAAGTCATTCCCGAAGGACTTGGTCGTGTACTTGTTTCGGACTTTAGTGTCGCAAGGCACCGAAGCATTGTCTTGACAACTTAGCGGTTATTTTACACGCTGTTACCTCGGTAAGCTAGACTTGAGTTTACCGCTGTTTCTATGCTAATGAGAGACTAGACATATATAGGTATATAGCACAGGATAGAGTATAGTACCTGGAAAGATGATTCTAGGGTATTAACACAGTCAAGTATATGGAAAGAGTGTTATATGAGAAAGAGGGTAAAAAAGATTTTTTTTTAAGAAAATAAAAATAATTCATATCGACCGATATACTCCTGTACGTGTTTCATTGATTTATTGACATTAATGATACACCCGTTACATTTGGTCGAGATATAGAACCGCGGCTACACTCGTGGAATTGACTTGTACGACCTCGAGCATTACCGATAATGGTTGTAAGTGCTTTTGAAAAAAGAGCGGGAAACGTATACATGCAAATTGCATGGCTTGTGCCCAGGCACTCCGGGGATTCCCGGGATTCGAACTTAATGCGTATAACAGTTCACGATATGGCCAAAGGGATGTTTCACGAGGAGTCAGGAAGTGTATCTGGTTTTATTAAGCTCCATGTAGATTGGTAAGACGATAGCCATATGGATGTATATACGATAAAAACCATCTAAATAAAAAGTCTCTATAGTCTAGTGATATCTAGTAATTTTTTTCACGAATAAAAAGTGCATAGAAAAATGTATGGCAAACTGAACAAAAAAGTACGTTTTTTAATGGTAAAATATGAAAAGATGGCGGACGACAATTTTCTCAGGGAATAAAAGGGACGTCTCTGAAAATTATTCCAAGGGTAGGAGATCGGGTTGCGTCTAAGTGCCTTCCATTAACGGCAATTTGCATTGATAGTAAGCAACCGGCTTAAAACCGACGTAAAAGCCGCTTTGCCGTCTTGGCTTACCGAAGACGTGCCAAGGGGAGGTAGCAGGTAGGGGTGGATAACGAGGAGGGAAAGAAAAGAAGAAAAAAAATTGAAAAAATTATAACAATGCTTTTTTTCAGTTACGACTTATACACGGCGTTCGTAGGGGGGTGGCGCTAGTGTCGGCAGTACTCAATAACAATTAAGATAATATTTGCATTCGGGGGTTGTGATTTCCTGCAGGTGTTTTCAACCCCCCTCGTACTATGCTCGTTACATATATCTCATATACCGAGTGGCGTGTATGACACATCGAATCGTGAGGGTTGGTTCTCCATATAAACCCCCCACCTAAAAACCACCCTCCACGTGGACGTTAAGCGTAGGGTGAGAATTACTCCGTAGGGGAAGTTCCCGCTATTAGATCTTTCTCATGCTGATAAAACTGTATAATGGACTTAATCGCTTTATGCCCAGCCCTTAGCTAACTTTTCGTTATTTTTCATGGGTTCCCGCTACTGTTCACTATCGACACGATAAATCTCACCTTTGAAAACTCGCTCACCTTTCTCATCCCCACTCCGGAGTTAACCACCCCCACGCCCCCTTACCGTAGTTCCTTTACTCGGTAAACGGAAATATATATATGATAATACCAAACCTTTCTATCCCATATGCACATTGAGTAATTAATAATAATCAGAGGTGAAAGAAAATGGCATTGAAAACTATCTTTAATAAAAATTTAAGCAACGAAATAAATATATTGGTATCATATGATATATCCGTAGCACCGTAAACCGTTATATATGTATATATATATATACATATGATATACGTAACTCGGTCGTCTGATTAAAAAAATAATTAAATGGATGATCAGCACCTACAAGCTTCTCTCACCTAATTCCCGCTCATGGAAATACATTACAATCTTAATGAGCACTTAGCATAACAAACGTAAGATCGGATCGAGTTGCCAAGCAGGGCAACCTGCTCGTTCATATACTATGGAGTATACAAGTAAGCGCGTATACAGTATAGTATATACTTTTCATATACTATATCACATTTCATACAGTATAGAGATATATGCATATATGTACACCTATAGATCCTATACCCATATTCGTTGTAGTATATATTCCCAGGTACACGCTTCGCGTACACTATAACCCATTCGACCTAACTTCACAGCGATGCGCATGTGAGCGCTCCCCGACTTACAGAGTTTAGCCGTTAACTTAACCGGCGTTTACCTTAATCTAAGATCAGCACTGCCGTACCTGTACTACTGCTGCTGGTAATGTACGACGGTATGAATATGCATTGGACACGGTATATACGTGCACATAACGTAGACACTCGAGGGCAAGCACGAACGTAGGTGCGAGTCAAGTCGTGTTACTCTACGACCGTAATAATATTGCCTGCTGGCTGGTAGCTGTCAGTATCCACAATGCACTGGGCACTGGGGATTTTTATTCTTGAACTGATAGCAACGCACTAAAAATAATATAAAACAATAAAAGGGCGACTGGAAGAACGTTATAACGATTCCGAGAAAGACTTAAGCTCTTGTTTTGACTAGCGGCGCAGCGAGTCGAGTCACGTGGTACGGATTAGCGTCGAATACGAACAGCAGTGCCTTTTTCGAACTGCGGCTAGGTACTACTCTGTCCGGTAATATTTAATACGAAAAATTATTTCTGGCGTTTCTTCAGTGCAGTGATGAAACTCTGTGTGTTTTCTTATGTGCATTTATCATTGGTTATCTACATCCGTAAGAGCATCAAGGCGAGTCTGCATGTACGACGAATCCTTGTGGAGGTTAGTTGTACCGAGTCAGTAGCTGTGTTACGGCTTGACGGCCACATTACAGGCTCGGTTAATTTGTCTATTTTCTCTCTAGTTTCTTTTTCTTTGTCACTGTTTTTTCTTTCATTCTATCTCTCTTTCTCTTACTCACTTGCTCGTCCCGTCGCGCATGCCTTGCTCGAACGTTTTATCGCGCTTCCGATTCGTCGCAGGTACTTCCGTTGCTCCAGTCAGTTTGCTCACTGCGGAAACTTCGTAATGATATGGTGACGCGGGTTTCGGTTGGCCATATGTGGAATACTGTCTGCCGGGAATATTTGAACGTCATATGACGTACATCGGCGTGAACGTTGAGGGTGGAATTGGGCATCCCTAAATGAAATGATGTCGCCACCCCTAATTTCTCTAATTCTTTCATTCCTGACAACTACACCGTGGCTAATTCGATCATGCTTTGTAACTATGTCCCGAATGATTATCTCTGGCCAGTATGTTGCTGTATATTGTACCCTAATAAGAAGCTACTGAATATATTCAAACGTTACAAGTACATTTGCATTTTAGGTAATGAACGACAGTCTCCGCAGAGCCGTAAGGTGTGTCATATTTAAATTTCGGAATAAAAATTTTACACCTTACGATAATAGTGTCTATGAGTTTTATAAAATCGTTTTCAAAATTTCAGAAAAATACAAACTAGACAGATGCTCGTTATGCACTGTTCAGCGAGTCCGAATAACCAATAATGCTTAATGAGGTATCTGAGATTAAGGTAATTACGTTAACACTGTTGAAGGCAGTAGAGGTACTTGGTAATAATAAAGAAAAAGTTACGTCGAACACGGTATACGAAAATCAGAGTTCTAGCTCATCGGACTGTGCAACAAAGTTATAAAGTCGATGCGAATAGACTATTGAATACTGTGTATCGAATTGATACAATGAAAAAAAAAAAGATTGTGGTTCAGAAAACTCATGAAAAGAACTGGAATTAATATGAAATAAGTTTTTGAAAACTATAAGTCTCAAAATGTCAAATAAAAATTCAAACGTGTAGACTATCACACCTCTGATCCGACGTATACTCTGATTTAACCGTATTCAAGAAACCTGTCCTAAATCCAATTCTTTTATCCATAACGTTCAAGGCTCTGAAGTGCGCGCGCGCGCTCAACTATAATGAAAGATATTAACTACAATTTTATATCAAATTACTGCTGAAACACATTTCACATTACTTGGGCGTGTTGGGAGGATGAAGAAGCTTGAGTATGGTCGTGGGTGATTGGCTATCTCGTTACCGGGAGAGTATCTGATTGGTTAAACAGCTGTCAAAGTGGGGTTGGTGGGGGGCGTGGCTTATGTTCGATATGGCCGCCCAGGGTCTCTGGCCGATGCTGTCTCCTCAGTGTGCTTCAGTCGAGGGAACTCGTTGGACGGGGTTGCTTCGCTGCTTTTAATCCTGTCGATGCGATTCAAGCTCGATGATTAATGCAACTCGCGTGGACCATTAAGTCTGGTGGAATTCGGTGATTAAGAGAGACATAATACGAAACAGTGATTGGATGTTATATATCACGTCGGGCATGTGGCAACGATCATAAACGCCAGCCGTCGCGCAGTTAATAAATCGCGAGTGTGTATACATGACTCGATTAAGAGAATTACTAAGGGACAAGACTGGCAGTCTGTTAGACGTAATTAATCAAGACTGTGATAAGTGCAAGACGTATAATACAAACTTATAGCTGTGAACAAGATTAACTCCGTGAGTCTGTCCCGTACGTATAAAGTGCGTTCGATGAAACTCTTGTTTTCGAAGTCCGCGAACCAATTCCTGTCTCAGCCATTCCTGGAAGACGCCTCGGGGACAATTAAGACGTACCCGACGCGGAACACAATCCTGTGCACGTTTCACGAGTTACGTTGAAAGAGAGAGACAAGAGATAGATTCAGAGGCGTTTGTAAAAGACATTACCCATAGTGCTCAGCGGTTACACGACGAGTGCGCTAGCCGCTTTGAGGCATAACAAAAGTGAGAAGCGGGCACTTATATAAAATTAATAATTAAAAAAAACGAAAGCGGAAATGGTCGCCGGGCGTGCTGTGCACGGTAATTATGTTAAGTGGGCAATTAGCAATTAACCGAGGAGCCGAGCACGGCCCTCTAATTGCAGAGGGAGTAGTGAGCCTGTCTAGGAGGAAGTGCAAGACGCTCGGCGAAATCGTTTTGCGTATTGGTCTCGTTACAGAGTAGCAATAGCAAGTACATCCAATTAATAAATACTCAAGGACTATATTAAATAAGAGAGAAAAGGATAAAAAGTTTTTGTTTTTTCAACAACTAAAAATCCACGCTTAATCATCGTCCAAGTAATTCCTCCTGCCGCAAGCTGTGAATCTTCATGACACTACAGGTGAAGACTTTGATACGTGATATCATAATAACGGTATCTCCGTGCACAGCATCCTTGAATCTCGCCGATGATCCTCCGCGAAGATAATTATCGCGAGTGTTCGGATCGTTGACTGAATTGGGTCTTGTATTCCACGTACCTTCGGGTACGTCTTCACCGTCGGCAAAATTCTGTCTCCCAGGTATCCATCGAGCCCTGGGGTGGCGACAGAGGCACCTTCAGGCGCCCGTAGCCCGGAACCACCATCCGTGATGACGGTCCATCATCAGAATCATCACATAGCGACACGCAATGGGAATGGTCTTAACTTGAGCAAGATGTCCGGGGCTGAGGGACGTCGTTTGGGAAACATCGACAGGAACACTATATACGACAGACTGGCGGCTGGTATTGACATTAGAAACAATAACATGGAGCGCGTTGGCGACGCCTCGACGACTATGCCACAAAGGTCTAGATTCATGATAACGGATATACTCGCAGAAGCTGTCAGCTCACCCCCTAGCGTTTTAAGTCCGGATCGGCCTGGTAGTTCACCAGCAGTTCCAAAGGATCTCAGCGTGAGACACGAATCCAGGTCATCTCTTAATAATAGTAACTTGGAGGAAGACAGCGACGCCAGCCATCAGGACGAAGCTTCTGTATCTTCGAACGGTAAGACATTAAAAATATACTCATTTAATTAAAGTCCTAAATCCTGTTTATCGAAATACAATTATTTCAATCTGGATGGTCGATTAAAACTTTCATTAATTCCTGTGGCCTTATTATCATTATCTTAACGAATTAATCACCTTAGCCCCATATGAATATCGTTGTGCAGCCGTCGGGCCTAGTGATTTTCTCATTCGTTTCTTTTCACGTGTAATTGAACAATTTCACGGGAAAAAAAACATCATTGCGAAAGATACGACTTTATCATTGTTGTAACGAACGGATCGATCAAGCGTGTCATTTCGATATCGATACTCGAATCGATTTGAAAAAAAAAAAAAATCGTGGTTTGAAATTTATATACGATTTTTCTTATCGTATCGTTCTTTATTTTGTTTACTTTCTTTTTTCTAAAAAAATCTAACAGCATACCTCAACCCGTTTCCATCTTATCGTTGCGACCCCAGCCGCCTAATCGCTCGCATGTTCTTATGTGTCAGTCCTGATAGCCAATAGACGTGTTTACCCCATTAACTAGAAAATTACCTACTAGATATACCAACCGGGCACGTCAATCATCTAATATACTGATGTACACACATTTAAGCCCTTATTTTTCTTGGCATAGTTAAAAATTCTCTATGAGCGGTTATACCGGCGTTGTTATATAGGGAGTTTAGCATTAAAACTTGAACTGTAGTAATAATGGGTATAGTATATGTTGGATGTATATTGGAGAATACGCGTACGGCTTGACCAAGTATAGAAATCAAGAGGTGTCGAAAAGCCGTGAAAAACTCGAGTCAAACGATCAAAGAGAAATCCATCCGGTTTTTGGGCGCGTGTTCAAATTCTGGAGGCTGGGCGCACTCTAATCCTCTTAGTCGCTGACAGTTACTACGCTTTGTCCAAATGAACCTTTAGCTTTCTTGATATTCAATCCTAGAACCCGGGAGCGGGTACGAGGCTACGTATAATCCGAGAACCGGAAACGATTGGCAACCGTTTAGATCGCGTCGCAGATTCGGGGATCGTTGTGTTTCGCTGACTTTTCAATGGGCGCCGTCAGCCCTTTTCTTTGACTTTGACGAGACAATCTCACGGTTTTCGGTACCGAGATACAATACGTAAACGGACCAATTGGTTCGAATCGAATTGGGCATTTTTTGGGTCCGCCACAATGCTAAGGCTCAGAGATCGCAAGTATCGAGCGCAAGGTGGGTTTCTATGAGCATTCGAAATAATATTTTTTTGTTATCAGTATTTTTTATTTCTGCATAATACTTTATGTCTCTTCGCGTTACAATGGAGCAGTATACATATATCGTTAGCGGTAGACGAACGTCGAGCGCTCGTCAGGATTCATACGGTTGGTTTTCGACGCGCGTTAACAAGATTTCCAAAGGTAGTAAAGCCTTTTAACTCGCCATGAGTAGAAAAGCTTCGACCTCGGCTCTGGAAATAAATCATTAAAAAAAAAACAAAAAAAAAAAAATACAAGGAACTGTCCCTAAAGGGGAATTTTCATTGGTAGAAAAGTATATGTAGAAACAACATAAAAAAACGATTACGTACATATATATATATATATATAAAATCCCTAACGATAAAGTCAATATCAATTAACAAACCAAAACAGTACAGTCTCTCGCAAAAATACTTTCCAAGCCATAACAAGGATCACCGATAAGCATCGTTCCTTTCCTGTATAATTTTGCCGGTCGAAGCTGACCTAAAATTACCTCGATGTCGATATTAAGTATTTTACGCGGTGGGATTGAAAATGAAAATACGTAACGACCGGGGAGAGGGGCAAGAAAAATTGTAACGACAAATTTTATCGTCGCTCGATCGGTACCGCTGGCTCAAGATCGGCGATAGGTCTGCTACCCCTTAGGAAAAGCGCTACAAAATGCGTCGTGGATCTACACCGCGTAAAGGGGGCAAGCAGGAGTAAACCCAAGGGAATCAGAAACTGGGGGAGCCAAATTCCGAGTGTCATTTGGGCTTATCGGACGATCTTAAAGGAGGTCCGACTATAATAGTCCTCTGCCATATAACTTATTATACATACACCCACGTATAGTGGTCTCCAAAAGATATAGTCTATTCAACTTAACTTAACCCTAGCGAATATCATTGTATGTATGTATATATTATTCTTAACTAGCTATACAAACCTGCGAATAACGCACCTATGCGTCCACCTATATAAGTCTGTACACGCAAGGTATACGCATACGTGAAGGAGGAGGGGGGGTTGGAATCAGCTTGAACATACAATGGGGAACCCTT